CATTGCAATGGACCTCTTGGGAGAACAGTTTACAACTGATAGAGTTATCCAGTGTAAATAAAGTTGGTTTAGTTAAGTTTTCCTTTTCATATAACTGGGTCGCTGGCTCATTAATGAATGTCCTTACACTTATAACATCTTGTATAAATAAAATTAGTTTAGTTTAGGTTTCCTCCTGTAGTAACAATGTCTCTGTTAATGAATGGTCCTAACTGAACCTTTGAAGCGAACAATTTTTAGCAGATAGAGTTTTCTAGTATAAATAAAGTTAGTTTAGTTAATGAACAATTTTAAGACATGATGGACCTATAGCGGTAACCCAGAATAAAGACCCATACAGAAGGGTCACTTACGTCGGAAGCTTTGAAGTTTCTGTCCTCGCGCATTTCGCATTACGCATGTTGGCTGCCATTTTCCTAGCCAGTCAATGACATTTTCTGGCCAATAGGCAATAAACACGCTGTATATACGTACTGGCTGGCTGCTCCGTTGCATCGCTGAGTGGCCCTTCTGTTACTGATCTTTATTCTGTGGCGGTAAGATGAAACGTGCTTGTCGCTCGAGTCACCTGTTTTCTCTCGTGTATAATTAAAATATATTTTGAAAACAAACGTAAATTATATGCCTCGCCGTCTTCAATTGTTTTCCAATGTTACTTTGTCTGCTGCCAGACAGACACTTCAAGTCATCAAGGAGAGAGCTCGCAAATGTTAGAATAACATTAATGATCTGTACAAATAAGCACTAAGCACTTGACCGTTAGGACGCTTACATATGCCATATATGTTGTTGCTTGCTATTTACGTAGTTTAAAGTTCAGTACTTTTTAATTGGTGTTTCTCTTCCGTAGCTACGAAGTAGAGAATATAAAATGCGATCTGTTCAGTCTGTTTGACTGATGCTATTCCATAAATAAACTTGATATTCTATCTCTCCGAAAAAGACAGAGTTCCGGCCATACTTTTTTTATTAGTTCCGGCCGGAACTGGAACTCTCAAAAATCGGGGTTCCGGCCTGGACTAACCGGCCGGAACCCACCTAATTTCAATACTCAGACAATAGCTTTACAAGCAAATTCCTAATGGTGGAAAAATGCGATTTCGACCGGCATTTATAAAGGTTCCTATTGGATAGATTTAATTGGATATAAGGAATATTTATGCAAAGGCGGAGCCAACTCGACAAAAGTGGGCGTATTTCGTTTCTGGATGTGTTGCGGCGGTCCCTCCTTTCTCCCGAGGGACTGCTCGCGGTCTACATACATGCACTTTATGACCATCTGCTGTGCACTTGTGCCGTTCAATTCTTCAGAAGAAGTCGCTCAATGATGGAGCTCGGCTATTTTATCAACCTGATATTTATATTTGCTTTGAATGTATTGTTCTTTTTCTCAGGAATATGTTTAAATTCCGTGGTCATACTCAGTTTCTGGCGGTCTGTACAACTTCGAAAGAAATTGTGTTATTTCATAATAATGGTTTTGTCCTGTTTCGATTTGCTAGCGGTTTCAGTTAATAATCTACGTTTGGCTGTTTTCACGATGTTATGGTTGACCGGAAAGTTGGTTGTATACCCTAACTGGATGGTGATTTCTAACACGGTAACCAGTCTTTCCCTTGGTTTTTCTTTACTCGCTCTTTTGGTCATGAATTTTGATCGATATTTGGCGACATCTTATCCTATCTTTCATCGAACATCGGTAACGAAGGGAAGACTTTTAACTCTTCTTGCAATACTGATTAGTGTTGAACTTACTTTGGCACTCATGTCTGTAAACAATTTTATTATTTCTTTTCAAGTTCATGTTCTAATATTTACTATTATTGTCATTCCTCCCATGGTGTTCATCAACTACAAGTTGTTCAAAATCGCCAGGAAAAGTCGTAGAAATGACGGAATACCACCAGAGATGAAAAAGACGTTTCCTTTGAAAAATATATCGAGTTGCTTGCTAGCAGTCGCTTGCCTAGCGGTGCTGTCCATCCCAGTGTTCGTCTACCTTGGGCTAACGATAACTTCGAAGTATGACGCATCGATGTTAGATAACGGACAAATCGCGGCACTCTGGGGTGGAACTATAATTTCAATGAACTCTACATTTAACTGTTTAATCTTTTTCTGGAAAAACAAGATTTTACGTACCGAGGGAATAAAAGTTATCAAAGGCATGAACACATGTCGAAGATTCTGATCCTAGTCCAACCATGCATTATAAGTACTCTTCAATAAACTGTTGGACCGTTAACTTTCTCCAACACTCTGGTCTTTTCATAACATTGCAATTGACCTCTTGGGAGAACAGTTTAGAACTGATAGAGTTATCCAGTAGAAATAAAGTTGGTTTAGTTAAGGTTTCCTTTTCATATCACTGGGTCGCTGGCTCATTAATGAATGTCCTTACACTTAACATCTTGTATAAATAAAATTAGTTTAGTTTAGTTTAGGTTTCTTTCTTTCGCAACAGTGCCTCTGTTAATGGTCCTGACTGAACCTTTGAAGCGAACAATTTTTAGCTGATAAAGTTCTCGAGTATAAATAAAGTTAGTTTATAGTTAACTAATGAACAGTTTTAACACATGATGGACCTATATAGCGGCGGTAAGATGAGACGTGCTTGTCGCTTGAGTCGTCTGTTTTCTCTCGTGTATAATCAGAATATATTTTGAAAACAAACGTCATTTATAATTATATGCATCGCCGTCTTAAATTTTTTACAAAACTGGAAACTAAAACCAAATATACATGTAGTTTATAGATAAGTACTTTGTATAACTTTAAAATATGTTAATCATCGTATCATTGTCTATCATTTTTTGCAACACTTACATGACGGGACAAATCGTTATAATCGAGCTGCGGGAAAAAGCAGAAATCTCTTTTGGACAAATTCTCAATCAACTGATTGCTCGGTAGCTTTTCCTAAAGTTAATTCACATGTCCAACTGTCTTTACTGTCGTTCCAATTGAAGTGTTGCTGAAATATTGATTCAATACATTACCTCGGGCCGACCAATTCATTTGATCAAGTTCCTCGAGATATTCATACACTTCCTGTGAAAGAGCCAATTCAAAGTATTTGATCATTTCTGGTCACTTCCTTTCTATTTATGATTGTTTACAAAGGTGATTGGTGCATTCAAACTATTCAACAGGAAGTTTACAATTATACTAGGAAGTGTATGAATATCTCGAGGAACTTGATCAAATGAATTGGTCAGCCCGAGCCCCGAGGTAATAATGTATTGAATCAATATTTGAGCAACACTTCAATTGGAACGACAGTAAAATGGTATATGGTTTTGTGTCTGTCGTTTCCAGTCCGGCCCAGTATAATCCAAATCCCATTCTCTCATATCTCACACAACACGGCCACTCATGTTGTAAATAGTATAAATATATATACTTCACATTCTTTTTTTTAATTTCTTGTCACAACTTCCCCTTCACTTCGGCGTCTCCTTCACATGGGTGTCCATTAGCGATAATGCAAAGCTCACTTCCCTTGTGGTGGTTTGAGCTCTCTGGTCTCACTCAATTTCGATGCAAAATTTCAAGTAGAAATTTAACAAAACTTGAGACTTATACACATGCGTTGCGCCATCTTCATTCAAGCGAGTTAAATTTGAATCCCAAATGAGAATAATTTCAAAACCCAGACAAGATAGCTTTGCATGCAATTCCCAACGGTGGAAAAATGCGATTTCGACCGGCATTTTTAAATCGGGTCGTATTTGGCTGCTTTTGATCCCAATGATACAAGAAAGGTAGCATTCGACAGCTAAAAGCCTCATCTTTATTGATATGAAAAACGTAAATGGTTAAACGTAATTAAAATACTCATTAATAATTCATAAACCTTGTGTCAAATCATGTCAGCCATAATATGTCACGTGGAGTGACTTTATATCTGATAAAGCATGTGGCATTATATAATTGTTCATCACTAATTAGTACGATTATATAATGGTTCATCCTAATTAGTATTCTTTTGTAGTCGTATTTTAAGCTATTCAAAACACTCGTTGTCGTGTTTTATCAGACATAAAACGCTCGGCTGCGCCTCGCGTTTTATATCTGATAAAACACTCCTACTCGTGTTTTAAATAGTACTAAATAACTCACGATGATATGTCAAAGTTGCATTACCTTTTTTTTATACACTCTGTATAATTCACATGCACACGCACTTTGGTGATGTCATTTCGACAATTATATGACCATCTGCTGTGCACTTGTTATGTTCAATTCTTCAGAAGTCGCTCAATAATGGAGTTCATTCATTTCATCAACCTGATATTCATAATTGCTTTGAATGTACTGTTCTTTTTCTCAGGAATATGTTTAAATTCCGTAGTCATACTCAGTTTCTGGCGGTCTGTGCAACTTCGAAAGAAATTGTGTTATTTCATGATAATGGTTTTGTCCTGTTTCGACTTGCTAGCGGTTTCAACAAATAATCCACTTTCGGCTGTTTTGACAATGGTATGGTTGACCGGAACGTTAGATGCCTACCCTAGCTTGACGTTGATTTCCATCACGGTACAAAGTCTTTGCCTTGGTTTTTCTTTGCTCGCTCTTTTGGTGATGAATTTTGATCGATACTTGGCGACATCTTATCCTATCTTTCATCGAACATCGGTAACGAAGGGAAGACTTTTAACTCTTCTTGCAATACTGATTAGTGTTGATCTTACTTTGACACTGATGTCTATAAACAACTTTGTTATTTCTTTTCAAGTTCATGTTCTAATATTTATTATTCTTGTCTTTCCTCCCATGCTGTTCATCAACTACAAATTGTTCACAGTCGCCAGGAAAAGTCGTAGAAACAACAGAATACCACCCGAGATGAAAAAAACGTTTTCTTTGAAAAACATATCGAGTTGCTTGCTAGCAGTCGCTTGCCTAGCGGTCCTGTCCATCCCAGTGTTCGTCTACATTGGACTAACGATAACTTCGAAGAATGACGCATGGATATTAAACGGAAAAATCGCGGCACTCTGGAGTGGTACTATAATTTCAATGAACTCTACATTTAACTGCTTAATCTTTTTCTGGAAAAACAGGATTTTACGCATAGAGGGAATGAAAGTTATCAAAGGCATGAAAATATGTCGAAGAATCCGATCCCAGTCAGACGATTAAAGTATTATTTGGCAAACTATTGGACCGTTGGCTTTCTCCAAACACTCGATCTGGGTTTTTTCATACCATGCAATGGACCTCTTGGGAGAACAGTTTAGAACTGATAAAGTTATCCAGTATAAATAAAGTTGGTTTATAGTTAAGGTTTCCTTTTCATATCACTGGGTCGCTGGCTCATTAACGAATGTCCTTACACTGAACATCTTGTATAAATAAAATTAGTTTAGTTTAGGTTTCCTCCCGTAGTAATTACAATGTCTCTGTTAATGAATGGTCCTTACTGAACTTTTGAAGCGAACAATTTTTAATTGATAGAGTTTTCCAGTATAAATGAAGTTAGTATACTTAAGATGAAACGTGTTTGTCGCACGAGTCATCTGTTTTCTCTCAGGATGAAGAACTATATAAAGAATACTAATGAAGATGATTTTTATCAGATATAAAGTCACTCCTCGTGACATATTATGGCTGACATGATTTGCCACAAGGTTTATGAATATTTAATGAGTATATATATATATATATATATATATATATATATATATATATATATATATATATATATATATATATATATATATATATATATATATATATATATATATATATATATATATATGTATAGAGCTCGGCTATTTTATCAACCTGATATTTATATTTGCTGTGAACGTATTGTTCTTTATCTCAGAGCAGCACGTCTATATAGATGCACAGATGGCATCCTTTAATTAATTAGTTTAAATACTTTCCGCTTTAAACAACATCTTAATTGTTACGTTGTTTTTTGTTCAAACAGTCTGATGGCAATGGAGCTTTTTATCAGCCTGGCATTCATATTTGCATTGAACGTATTGTTCTTTTTCTCAGGAATATGTTTAAATTCCGTGGTCATTCTCACTTTCTGGCGGTCTGCGCAACTTCGAAAGAAATTGTGTTATTTCATGATAATGGTTTTGTCCTGTTGCGATTTGCTGACAGTTTTAACTTATAATCCACCTTTCGCCCTTTACATGATGTTATTGTTGACCGGACAGTTGGATGGATACCCTAGCTGGATGGATATTCCCTCGGATGTATCTTCTGCTTTTCTTGCTGGTTCTTTATTCGCTCTTTTGGTGATGAATTTTGATCGATATTTGGCGACATATTATCCTTTTTTTCATCGCACATCGGTAACAAAGGGAAGGCTTCTAACTCTTTTTGCAATACTGATTAGTGTTGATCTTATTTTGGTACTGATATATATAAAGAGGTTATTTTTTTTCAAGTTCATGTTCTAATTCATTTTGGTATTATCTTTCTTCCAATGTTCTTCATCAACTACAAATTGTTCAGAATCGCCAGGAAAAACCGTAGAAACAAGGGAATATCACCCGAAATGAAAAAGGCGTTTTCTTTGAAAAATATATCGAGTTGCTTGCTAGCAGTCGTTTGCCTAGCGGTAATATCCATTCCAGTGTTCGTCTACCTTGGACTACGTATAAATTCGAAGGCTGCGTCGAAATTGGATAGCGCAAACATTGTATCACTTTGGGGTAAAACGTTTGGCACAATGAATGGTACATTTAACTGCTTAATCTTTTATTGGAAAAACAAGATTTTACGCACCGAGGGAATGAAAGTTATCAAAGGCATGAAAATATGTCGAAGAATCCGATCCCAGTCCGACCATTAAGTATTATTTGGCAAAGTATTGAACCGTAGGCTTTCTCTAGTTTATATAGTTATCCGGTGTAAATAAAGTTCGTTTAGTTAAGGTTTCCTTTTCTAGTATCACTGGGCCGCTGACAACGAACGAACGGGATGTAGTAAAATCTGTTTGAAAATTATTGCTAACTTGACTACAACTAGAAAATATCATTGTATCAACTATAACCTAAGTACTCTCTTGTGTTTGTGGCCTTCTTCGTGTTTTGCGAAACTGCATTTCGTTTGGCGCATACATTTGCTCGTCTGTATAAACCAACACGAAGCCATTTTGTTTTTGTCCGGAGGTGAATAGTGCAAGGATATCCGGACCTGAGGAACCAATCAAATTGCGCGAAAAGCACTATCCACCTCCGGAGTATGTGCTGAATACAGTTAGTCAATCTCCTTAATGAATAGCAGAATCGTACATAATACAATACCGGTACTTACAGTACAAATAAACTTTTGAAAGTCTTCTTTCATGTCATCTGGAACACATTCTTCCAGAACTGGTGTGTAAGGAGTGACCTACAGTATATGAAACATATATAGTAGGGAATGTTTGAGCAGACAAATTTGTGAGTTAACGGCAACCAGGTACAGCATCATATACACAGGGTGTCCACCCTTTGGTGAAGGTGAAATCAAGCACTTTTCCAGGACTTTCAAGGCCCTTTTTCAGTAAATTCAAGGATCTAGAACTGGGAAAATCTTTGAAAATAATTCACTTTATTCAGTAATTTTAATCAAAATCACTAATGTTGGCACAGCTGGAGGTTAAGGAAATTACTTCCAGGACTTTCAAGGACTTCTATTGATTTTCAAGGACTTTCCAGTCCTGGAAATTGTTTTCCAATTCAAGGACTTTCCAGGATTTTCAAGGCTCGTGGACACCCTGCATACATGCTTCTCTCAGAGTGTTCTTATTTTTATTTTATTTTACATCTGCTTTAACTTAATCGTTTCTGTTGGTGTCTCTACACGGCAGTCTAGTGGACACTTCGAAACTTAAAATCACGAAAGTCGATACTTCAACATGGGGATCACAGAGCCATCTGAAGTTGTCATATGTATGTATGTATGTATGTATGCCCATGCACAGAATAAACTAGAAGAATGCGAGTTTCCTGTATATTCGAGAGATCATATATACAGTACCTCTGCAAATTGTCTCAATGCTGTAAAAGCTTCGTTGTGCACTAGCCACTGGTTCGAAGAGATCAGTGCGCGAAAAATCTTCGATATTACAGTAGACTCGTTCTAAAAAAATATTGTAATGTATTAACGTCAGTATATTTATATTGGCTTTCAAAGTAAGTGGCCGGCCGGCGGGTATTATGCGAAGTCTTATCTTATCAGAAAACGTATCTGCTTCTCGCCACAGACGGTTACATGTACTTAAAAAGGATTTTGATTCACCGTGGGTTGTTTTCTCTAAAATAGACTGTGCATCCATGTCGCTTAAATATTTGTAAGTTAACTACTGTCTTAAACCAAGAACTAGCTACATTGCCTACAATATACCAATGCGATCGAGAAATTTTCATCGAAATTTTTTTTCGCTCTTTCTAAACCTCGTTCATCCTATATTATGTCTTCTTAATAACGAGCAAATAATGTACAAAAATTCTAATACAAGACTAGCAAAAATATTCCTGCTTGAATTGGTGACAAACGCTATACTTTCTCGCCACAGCCAATGAAAGCCCAGCAACACTAAAGCCCCAGTCAAACGACGGTGAGAATTTCTCAACTCTCGTGTCATGGTCAAACGAGAACAAGAGTTGACTGGATAAATTACCACGTGTAGCAAAAACTAGCATCAACTCTCAACAAAATTGGAACCAGCTCAAAGTTGATGAGATTGGAAGAGAGTACATAAGAGATGATCTCATGCAGTTCGCGGTTAAACGCGAGCGACTCCTATTACTCCACACAAGATTTCTGAAGGGAAGTTTGCTTTGCATTTTAGGCTAACCTATATAGAGTTCAGCTAACCGGCTTTGAACAACCAGCCCCAGAAAGACTCTAGCCTAGGTTGTAGTTGATTTTGTAAGCCATACCTGTCCAATAGGGAACGGTAGCTTCCCACATTCAGCCATCAGACGTGCAAAATATAGATTCAAAATATCATCTTTTGATAAATCAACACCTTTTGCAATGTTATCGAGAACCTAAATATAAGACAAAGGCAAAATTATTGGTATATATCAGTGTGGATTATAACGGTCGGCAATCGGCTATTTGCAGAACAAAAACACAAAAAGTATATTATTTGATTAGTACTGTTTAAAAAGCATAGAAGCAAGAGAAAGAACACAAAGCATTTTATTGACTTCGCTGTGACAAGCGACAAAATCACGTTACAAATTTATGGTAACAGACCATTGTTAATACCAGACATGCGGTAATTTTAAAACAGTAACCTTGCAACCAAGAACATTTCGGTTGCTTACCAAAAGTTAAGTAACGTGATTGGTCATGCGGGAAGTGATCAGCAGGGCCGCCGACCAGGGGGGCAAATTGCCCCGGGCCCCGAGGTGCTAAGGGCCCCTGAAAAATTTTTGTTGGGCCCCAGTCTTTTTTGTGTGTTAAATATTTCCGCGCAAAGGACAAGATATCTGTTTTCTTGAGCTAACTACCGAAATTTTCAATAAAAAAATGAGATAAAGTCCCTGGAAAGCAATAACAATGCACTCGTCCTGAAAAATTTTTTACTCCGGAAAAATTTTTTTACCCCTAAAATGGTACACTGACCGAAAATTTTCTGGCGCGCGGGGGGGACGCGGAAAAAACCAGGCCGCCATTGCCCCGGGCCCCCGCCAACCTCTCTGCGGCCCTGGTGATCAGCACAAGCTATCAATGTAAATATTCGGAAAAGCTGGCCGACCATTGTTAGCCGATGTCCGAGCAACTGCACACTTGATCGGACATTTGTCAGACCCACGCAAAATGGTTACAATCCACACTGGTATATATGCGTACAGTGAACAGTGGTAATATCATAATACCGTTTCAAAATGTAAACTGTCGAATAAAAAACTAATTATCACCTTGTTGAAATTTTCAGGTTGCATTAGAGGCAACACTGCCTTCAGAATATTAATGACGTTCGACCAACAAATCTCTGAGATCTAAATAAAAGAATGCTATTAAAAAATAGTTATCGAACCCTGGTGATACGTTCCTTGGCTGACAAAAGCCATAATGTGAAAGGCCTAACATTGTAGCAGTACCTCTTTGGGAGCATCGATGAAGGCATCAAATAAACGTATTGTTAAAATAATGAAGTCTGATTTTACATCTTGCTCTAAGCAACCAAAAATAACTGGGTGGGTTACAAGGTTTTGTAGGCAATGAAGATTCTTTTCCTACAATATAAGGAAACCCAAGATTACACAGGAGCAATGGGTGAAGAATATAACATGGTTCTTGTCCAAGCTTAAGTCTGTTTTTCAATTCAGCTTATAGTCTATCAGGATACGTTGGTCTGGGGCCAGTTGTTCAAAGCTGGGTTAGCTTAACCCTTTAGGCCTAGGTTAACCTAAAATTCAAAGTAAAATTTGGAAATATTTCTTAAGAGATCTTGTCTGGATCGATAGGAGTTTACTGCTCTGAAGTTTTGAAATAAACAGACGCGTAAAAATACACAAACTAAAACAGCAGGTTAAATTTTAACCGGTATCGATCGGTCACGGACATTGTCCGACCCATGAACATGCATTCGTGAATTGTCCGACGTAGAATGGAAACCACCGGACATTCTGTCCGACCTAAGTGAAACTGAGATTTATTGTTTGTCCGACCTAAGTGCATTTGTGTCCGACCGAACTGTGTAGCTTAATTTGTCCATCGTAAATCAAAATGTAGCCCAGCCCAGGACTAGAAGCTTCATGTTAAATGGAAAATCAGAGTACTATTGTTTAAAAGGTGAACTGGAGATATTGTTTTAACGTAGTCGAGGGCGGGGTGGCGAGCGAAATGGTGAAGTGGAAAACGGGCTTAAGTTGTCGAAGTTTTTTTAATTATGCTGTTCTGGAAAGCAAGTTCATTTGTGTCATTCAGACCTATTTCCGAGTCAAAACTGAACTGAAGGTCATCGGACATATGTCCGACCCAAACTCAACGTCATCGGAGATTTTGTCAGACGGCCCTGTAAAAGATATTTTAAGGCCTGTAACCCTGCAGGGTTAGCGTTAACCCACCTTTGAACAACCGGCCCATGGAGCTAAACAGAAGTCGTGTTATGTTTTTGTCTGAGTTCATGTTCATTTGTGCACGGTCACAGTGATTGAGCTTATTGTATTTTCGTATAACGAAACAATGGACGACTTACGCTTTAGAAAAATTTTTAATCTGGGAATAACAAAGGATATTTTCTGAAAGATGTTATCAAAATTAGAACTAGGGATCCAAGGATAGTGTGAAGTTTCAAATTTAAAAAGACACTGCAAGAACTATATAGGGTCGCCGACAACCTAGAAAAGCTTGATGGCTTACACTACGAAATAAACAGTTACCAAAGGCATTTCATCCCATTATTTATTGCTTTTAATACGCTCGGCACACGAGTAGCGTGACGTTTGAAACAAGCCTAACACATCAGAAACGTGCCTTGTGAAACTGATGCAATTCGTCTATTTATTGTGTCACCAACAACCAAATTTTGCATATTCTAAATTTTCATTTGCATTTGCAGCTGTCGCTGAAATCATCCCCACGAGGCTACTGCTATATTTATCTAATAAACTATAATTGAAATAGCTGTATAAGATATGTTATGAATAATAAGCACTACGTCGTTACATCATTAAAAGACGCATTTTATCCTCATCCGTTCCGTATTTTATCCGCATATCCGTTCCGTGGATCCGCTCCATCCGCTTCCGCATTTTAACTTAATTGTGACATGTTCACAATAACAAGTTTCATTGACCTTTGACTTTTCCCAGTGTGACGTGTGTCTATTTTCAGCTTTTCGCATGTGTTAAATATAAATATCACTTTAGATTTCAATAGTTTCACAGTTTATATAGCAGTGTCTAAAACATTTTCGACAAGCTTTGATACAGTTCTGTGTACAGAATACTACAGATTGATTCTCGTAAGATCTGGTAGAGTTATCGTTGCACTGAATACGAGTTTGCACCGTTGACAACGGCGTTGTGCTAGACACTAGACAGTATAAAACAAAGACAAGGACAAGGTCCGTGAATGTACACGTTGGCTACATGTACCTCCTTGCTTTTTTCTTCTATTGCATAAAGCTTGTTGGCGAGCCAATTAAGCGATTAGCGATAACACGTTGGCTATCTCGTCGTCTTTCTTATTTTAATATACAAGGAGCTCTGGCTCAACTGATTCCTTTAGTCTCGTAAGTTTTTTTTCTTCGTAAACGCCGTACAAATGTTTACCCGCTTCTGTTTAATAGTTGGTTATGCTTTATTGATCTGATACAAATCTGATGCAATTTTTCGCTCTTTGTACTGAGTATAGCCATCTATTCTGTGATGTAGCGCACCTTATACAGTCAATGAGAATGTATAATGAATACACGGTCTAAATAATATCGACGGTAATGCATAACATCAAATTATATATTGTTATGTATTACTATTATTGCGTAGAATCTCAAAGATTTTCTCAATATTCATGTCTGAAATGTTTATATACTTGAAAACAACACTGTCTCGCTTCTGCCTGCACGTACTGTACCTCTGTATAATGAGTATGCCGTGAAAAAATAATATCGGCACTCAATTGAATGCCTAGAAGCAAGATTTTCGACTCAATATTTACGTCTGAAATGTTTATACACTTAACTGCACTGTCTAGGCGGTCTAGCTCCTTCCTAGCTCTGTACAATGAATATACCGTCTAAATATTATCGGCACTTGTTAAATTGAACGCCCGTAATGCATAAGATCAATTTATATATTGTGTAGATTTTCAAAGATTTACTCAATATTCACGTCTGAAATCTTTATATACTTGAAAACAACACTGTATCGCTTCTGCCTACGTACTGTACCTCTGTATAATGAGAATACCGTGAAAATAATATCGGCACTCAAATGAATGCCTAAGAATCAAGATATTCAACTCAATATTTACGTCTGAAATGTTTACACACTTGACTGCACTGTCTAGGCGGTCTAGCTCCTTCCTAGCTCTGTATATCAGTATAATGAATATACCGTCTAAATATTATCGGCACTTAATTGAACGCCCGTAATGCATAAGATCAATTTATATATTGCGTAGATTTTCAAAGATTTACTCAATATTCACGTCTGAAATCATTATACATCTGAAAACAACACTGTCACCCCTTCCTAGCATATCGTCACGCCATCGTGATCTACGGCTTGATAGCGCATGCGCATTTGCGCTACTAAAAAACAATCGGGTGTTCCGGGGTAAAGATCCTTTACACAACATGAGAAGCGAATGTTCTAAAATTTACAAAAAAATACAATAACAAAAGCGATTCCTCAAAATTTTTGTGAACTTGGCAAAAGGATAACAGAATATGTAAATAAGTTAACTGAAATTGCTTAAATAACCTTCAAAGTACTGACAAAGCACAATAAATCACTACGAACATAAATCGTATACACCCCCCGGAAAGTTTACTGTATGACTGACTGACTGACTGACTGAATGACTGACTGACTGAATGACTGACTGACTGACTGATAAGTTTGAATTTCCTCCCAGTCATCACAATACTGTGAAGTTTCGAAGAAACTTCACACTAAAAACTACAAAAACAGATTTGCCTTATTGTAAATTGCAACTGTTTTCAACATACTGTCCAGTGAAAGGTTTTAGAAAGTGATACGTACGAATTCATTATACTATTTATAGAATTAAATACGTGATATACTAGTAAACTTACTTTTTTTCGACTTTGAATATTGATACAATTCCAATTACATGATAAACGTTAGTTGTTAGAACTCTTGCAACTTGTTCTTTAACCTCAGAGACACTTTAAAACTATAAAAGAATACGAATGAAGTCATCGAGCTTTATCGAGTAAATTACGTAAATAACTTGATTGACGTTTGCTCAAACCGCTAACCGGAAACTTCAAATCAAGTTTGAACAACTAACAGTTGGCTTCAAATTACGATTTGAAGTTTGCCGTTTGCAGTAAACGTCAATCTTACCGAGTTGATTTCACGAAACTTTGGCCGCGCCAGTTGCGAGGTTGGTTGGGAATTTGGGAACTATAAACACGAGATCGTCAAGTTGATTGGAAACCGGCCAATCAAATTCGGAAGTTTCGCATCAAATTAACGAAATTCGTTATGAAATTCCGAACCAAGTTCGCAAGCAAGTTCGCAAATGGCAATTGCTAGATAGTATACGTCAAAATAAGATTTCCGTTTAGGGTTTAGATTAGGGTTAGGTTGGGGTTAGGGTTAGGTTTAGTATTAGGGTTAGGGTTTAGTTTTGCGTTAGGATAGTTTTTTTCTACGTTATAAAAACGGAAACCTTATTTTGAAGTATACTATCTATAGCAATCACCGTTCGCAAATTGCAAACAATTTTGACGGTAAATTTCAAAAACTAAACTTATTGTATTATAAAACAAAAATTAAACTTATTATAGTTTTAAACCTGAAATTATTATTATTATGATATATATTATTTATTATTTTGCTGCAGAAGCAAAGAATGGACAAATCCGAAACTATTAGCCTTTCAAAAATTGTACTATATATTTGTTGTTTGTTCATAATATTGTTATATATTTGTGTATGTATAGTTATTATTGATTCAAGTAGACGGTTGTGAATTA